GTTCTAGTAGCTTGTTTGTGGTGGTACTGGGAAGTAAGCTTCGAAGTTTGGCAAGATGATTGTCGATGCGCTCTCGGCGTCGTCTTTCAGCTTCACTATGGCTCTTCGAAGCTGCTAAAGCTTTAGCTTTCATGACCTCTTGAGATGTCATCTTACCCATTTCAGCTTGAAGCCTAAACGTCATAGACCATGGTTAAACCATTTGGCCCAATGTCTCGGGTATGAGCCTTAGGTGGTGGTCTGATGAAGATATACTACCCTCGTATGCAAATTGCAAGCCACCAGGTACCCTCCTATGAATCAAACCACCATAAGATGAGGGTGGAGGTGGTGGCGGTGGAGGGAAGAGATATGTGCCATGGTATCCAGAAGGAAAAGGAAGATCCGGAGTGTAGCCGGAGTTGTGGTGTTGATTTGTAGAATCCAGGGCTACTGCTGTGAGTGCAAGGTCAGTAAGACCTCTCATGATTTCGTATATGAGTAATCATTGATACCCATATTTTGATCTTGAATCTGTTGAATGATTAATGGGTGTTCATGAAATCCTTGAATATTTTGCAAATCTTGATGATGGCGGTGGAGGTTATTTCTCAAGAAAAGGGTTAGTGGTGAAGGAGGGGGAAGTTATAAGGATATTGTGGAGCTAGGGTTAGGGGTTGGTTGGAGGCGACGATTGTAGCTTCGCCGGAGAAATCTTTGACATGAGGTTGGAGGAGAATATGAAAAACGTAGTAGAGAGGCATTAGTATCTAGGTTTTTAATTTGGGATAATGAAATGAAAAGGCCACGTATTATTTTTTTTAGAAAATTGAAAAAATCTACCTAGGCAAAGGTAACCGATGAAATCGTCTAATTTTTTGAAAAATTGTGTAATTAGAAGGTAAAAATGGAGTTTAGTGGTCTAATGTACCAAAAAAAAAAAAAACTTTTGTGACATTACCAAAATTTTGATGTGCTACAGTGTCATTTACCAAATTCATAAATAACCACAAGCTTTTTGGTCTTAATTGTTAGTAACAATTATAAACAATTGCAAGTTTTTTGGTCTTAATTCTTAGTTTCTATTGCTATAACAAAGATATTATTTCCAAAATAAGGTTTTTATAACGTGATTACGTAATAAAACACAAAATGAGTTCTATTTTGATCGGTTTGCTAAATTCCTATAACCAACTATGAGAAAATAACTAAATGGTATTGATAGAAAAAAAAATTATATCAACTATAGTTGGTACGTTATACGATTTGAGCAAAATATAATCAGTATCGTAACATGTTCGCCCTAAATTATTATACTTGCATGCATATTTTTATGTTTTTAGAATTCATTAACATCACATCACATGAACATACTTAATCGGGTAAGCTTTGTCATTTGAATTTCCATCAACATTTCCATAGGGGGCGTTGAGAGGGGGGGGGGGGATTAAAGTGGGCAGCCGCACATGATCTAATTTTTTTATTATATATTTTTATTTAAAAATAAAAACTTATAATAACAATAAGGACCATTTTTTTCTGCCTCGTCCTGGGTATTTGATGATATTTAATTCCTCAGGATCGGCACTAATTAATATTATTGCACGACCAATATAAATTATGACACGACCAATATAAATTATGACACGAAGTCAAATATTTTATAGGCTTGAATAAGAGACATCCCTTGTAGATTCTCACCTTATTAACACAGGTGAAACATACATTGGTGTATGTGTTTTTGGAGAGTGCATTACTTATCCACTTCATTCTTGATATGAGCTTATCACTACCATTCATTTTGTATCTCGAACTTATTATCCGATCTTTAACCTTTTTATCGAATATATATAAAATAAAATTGGTACAAAGTGTAGGACATTTTAGGAAGTATCTTGTGTTGGTTGGAACTTCGTGTTCAAAAAGGAATTTGTTGAGGATGATCCATCATTGTCTCAAAATATTTAAAGATCCATCCCCTTGTTCATGGGTCAACTACTATTTTATATTTCAAACAATTTAAATACATCATTTAATTCCCAAATGGTGATATAATTTCCGATTTCTCAATAAAGCTGGACAAAGAGATAGCGTAGATATGGACATTGTGTTTATCCATTGACATTATCAGAAAATGACATCTTATCAATGCGTCGTATAATATTTATGTACAAATTAATTTATTGTAGCAGTAATAACAATGCTAACGTCTTCGGTCCTATAAATAAATGTCTAATTTTTCACTAACGTCTTCGGTCCTATAAATAAGTGTCTAATTTTTCACTAACGTCTTTGGTCCTATATATAAGTGTCTAATTTCTCACACTTAAAAATACGGATATTTAAAAAATAACTCCTTAGCTAACAAAGAGGTTCTTAATCTAACAACTAACTAGGAAGTCATGGGTTCAATCTCAGGTAGAGGAGATGTTTAAATTATTTGCCGTTTAAAAAAAATAAAAAATAACTCCTTATGAAGATTTTCTTTGAGAAATATAAAACATGTAATTTATAATTATGCATACATTTATGTATATAAATATATCCAAGAAAAATATAAAATCTACTAATATGTTGTGGTGATTTTCCAACTATATGCTTTCTAGCACGAATATTTGTGATAGCAGCAACCCAATTCGATCTAGAAAGGGGGCTCTTGCTCGGTAGGATACTCGATAACCAGTCAAGCGTTGTACTGGTCTGAAGATATCACTTGCAGATCATATATAACTATTTTGGTTTTATCAATTTGTTTCTTCATAATTTGAAAAACAATGAAATCTTTTGTGAAATAAATATAAAAATACCTCTAATTTTAATCTCCTAAAAGCCTAGTTTTTTTCCCATGTAGAATTACAAACCCAAAGAATTCAAAAAAGGGCTTGACCTTCTCTTAGCTTTTATTAGATAATTTCCCCAAAGATTGGGGGTTTTCCACACTTTTTTATATTATAACACAAAAAATGTTTTTTCCTTTGCTAGTTATAGAAATTGAATCTTAGCTGAAATTGTACATTGTGCAATAATGGTTGTACATGATAACAAAGTATCGATGCCTTTCTTTCCTTTTAGTTCTTATGGAGAATGGAATCATCCCTTCAAGAAGAAAAAGAAAACCTTTTCTGAGTTCTTGTTCATCCTAAAAAAAAGTATAAAATTCGTTTTGTCTCGAATAAAAGCTAATCTGATATGACAATTTGTACCTTATACATTGATAGCTTGTACACGTAAACTAACTCTAAAATGTTTAAATTTCACCCATTCACGTAATTTCGATGCTAAAAGAAAATGACACAAGATTCTAAAGTCATTAACTATTCATAAGCAATATGTTACCGATCGGTTTAGAAATTTAGCTAAAAATGGTGCAAGATTCAATGCTTGAAAAATTGCTTCTCATAAGCTTCTCATTTGATTTTTTTTATTTGTTTTTGTTTTTTCCTAGTTAATAAAATTAATCTGTTCCAAAAAAAAAAAATACAAATAAGTTTGTCATTACAATAAGAGCCCAGCAGTTGTTAGAACGTTAAATCATAAACCGTTGATGTTCTATGATCCATTGCTCACGTACGAAAGGGGTCCATGAGAATATATATTGTTCATTTTTCTTATACAAATAAATAATGAACAAATTGTATTAATTTATTTATAAAAATATTGAACAAATTGTATTAATTTATTTGTGAAAATAATAACCAACAAATATGTCCTTTAAGCATAGAATCTTTTTCATGAAAAAAATTTGTACTTTAATATAAATATTTTATTAAACGTTGTAATGTTCCCTAAAACTGAAATAATAATAAAAATCAAAGTTGGTAAAATCATCATCTCTTAAAATCGTTTTACCTTTGATAAGATTTTGTATTCTTAATCGTAATATCGAAAGATCCTAGCAACTGAAATATTATTAATATTATTTTTGCAATATTTTGTATGTATAATTGTTATTATAATTTGAAATTGATTAAGACATTAATAGTGAAATTAACATTAACTTTTTAATAAACAATCGTAATTACTTTTGCTAAAAACCACAAAAATACAAAAAAAAAAGTACAAAAAATACAAAAAGAAACAAGATAATTGTGATTATATATAACTAAAAAGGTAATATCATATATTTCATGATGTTTTGTCTAATTCAAGATGAACGGATGAAGTTGTGATTATGAGAATTTTTGTCGCTTACTACATGTATGCGTGCTTGATTTCAAATTGTATGAATGAATTGTTTTAGGCCATACCTTTTAACAAAAATAGATTTGGTAAAGATTTTAAAATCTTAGTCAAGATCTTAAGATACTTGTATAGAATTTGTTTTAGATAGATCCTCATATAATCAGAACCGTTTTTTATTTTTAGAATTTTAAAATTAACATCCAATGATAAAAACGATGATGAAGGTGGTAAGTTAAGTAGTACTATTTTAAAGCTTAAATTGAGGATTTAATCACAATATTATTATTTTCACAAAGCTCAAAGAGGGTAACCAGGTTTCTCACTGATTAATTTAACTATTAATATGGATGATATCTTAAACATAAAGTGAGTGCAAAGTTAAATTAAATTATCCTCAAAATAGACAAATGGGAAGAATGCAAGCAAAATAGATTTTCGTGAATGAAAGTTTGATTATATTATAATATGGACTTATTGAAAAGTCTATGGCCCCATTACTTTGTACCAAAAAAGAAACATAATAAAATAAAACAGCTAAACAATTAGAAGATCAAATTCTAAATCATCACATTAAATACTCATGTGTTTAAGGTAACACAATTAATATTAATCACATCAAAGAAAAAAAATTAAACAACACATCTAACCACTTGTTTCGTCTTCACACAAGATTAAAATCCATAAACAAAATATTTTTGAACGGAAAAAAAACGTTCCGATAAAAAATAATCAGTAACCGTATGAATTTCCAGTAAAATCAACGTTTAAAAACTTGTATGATTAACGATTGACACTGAAAATTCATACTGTAAGTGTTAATTAATAACAAAAACTTCATATCAATCTGGATTCTTACAAGCATAAATCAACAAAGAAGCACCAACTTTTTCTTGTTCTTTCTCCAAGTTCTTCTCTTCGAACCACAATCTGCTATCAAATCCACTTCTTGGTCTAAACAAGAAAATCCCACCTTTTTTTCTTGATTTCATATTGGAATCTGAATCAAAGAACCACCCATGAACATCCCACATCAAATCAACAAGATTTCCATCCAAAAACATCGTTTGATTACCACGAAAATTCCATCTTAATCTCTTCACTTGAATGACATTCTTTCTGTCGATAGAAACACACAAACTCAATGAATTTTTGGCTCTTCGATCATCTGCTATGCATGTGATCGTTATATCATGCCATGTCCCCGTTTCAAAAAACTTCGCCCTGGTTGAATACTCAGCGTTCCCATAAAACCTCTCGCTACGAGATACCAATGAAGATTTGGCAAAAGGGTAATCAAAAACAAGCTTCTTTAACTCCAAATCTTCAATGTCACCAATGGAAATCATCTCAGAGTTGACCAAAACTGCCAGAAAGTACCCTTTGACCGGTTCAGGACCTATTTCATAGGTTGCTTTCGTGAGATCCCAAATGAGTTCAATCTTTGAATCAAAAGGTTCAAGCTTTTTTGACCCTTTGATCTTTCTCAAACAAAAGGATTTAGAAGAGTTAGAATGGGGTTCGTTGATGGAGATTGTGAAGGCGAAGTCAATGTTGTGAGTTGACCATGTGAATGTGATGAACAGAAGGTTTTGTGAAGAGAGTTTGACATTGTAGAGGATTGAAACTTCATCTTGGATTGCAGGATTGAAGGTTGGAGAGATGTAAATATTGTTTGAATTCCCAGAACAATACGAATCTGAAACCTTGATTGCATGTTCACTATAGCAAGTCGCTAAATTTCTCATTTTTAAACTCATATACTATAGAGTATAAACCCACAAAAAAGATTCAACCCCAGATATAATCAATCATCATATATCGATAAATTTCTTCTTGGATGAGAGAGAAAGAGAGAGAGAGATGAAGAAGATGCTATGTTTATAGAGAAAACTACAAAGAAGATGTTCTTTTTGTCATCTTTCGAGGAAGAAAACAAAGATGGTGAATGAATCTTGTTCTCTGTATATATATACACATATATAATAATATATATTCTTTGCCTAGGGTTAAAGAAAATGGAGAGCTTGAAGGTTATGGAATGCGAGATTGATTCATCTTTGTGAGTGTTATGTCATATGAACTGTCTTCTCCTATTGTAACTGAAAACTAGAGAGAGAGAGAGAGAGAGAGAGAGAGAGAGAGAGAGAGAGAGAGAGAGAGAGAGAGAGAGAGAGAGAGAGAGTTAATGGCCAGCACACCTGTTCATTAAATGAGGATTCCAAATTTCACTCTCTTTAAATTGGTTATTACTATTACCATACAAAATTTTACTAAATACAGACTTAAGACTTTAATACTACCAACCTAAAAACTTAAATTTACCCTGTATTTAGCTATTTAGAGCCTGGAAGATATTTCAGTTGTAACCATGTGTGAGAAGAGTGGGCAAACTGAAGAGTTTTTGGTTAATTAAAAAAAATAAAAAATAAAAAAAGAAGAGAAGGTAAAAAAAACAGAGTACTATTTTGACTTGTACTGTAGTTTGACTTGTTGGATCTGAAGACTTGGTTGCTCAACTAACTAAAGATTAATGTGCCTAAAGTTATTGTATTTTATAAAAAATTCCATTATTTTATATTAATTAGTTGAAAAATATTTTATAACCATAAAAAATGTTAGTAATCTAGGAACGAATGAATGAGCTGCATAGAAATAGATGATTTATTTCTATATCAGCACAATCAGAAAATAAAAAACTTGAAAATAGCTTCTTCTAATCCGTAAAATATTTGGAAAATGAGCTAACAATAGATAAAATTAATATAACGTATCGAACAAATTTTCCATGAGTGGTAATGTGGTGTAGTAAAGGAAGATATTTCATCTGGTATTGATACGTGTGATTTTACATAAAATATAACTAAAAAAAGTAATAGGAAAACCATATTTGCATATTAGCTCATAAAATCTTATTATTCAAATACGACTAGTGTCTTGTTTGGACGTGTTTAACAAAAATATCTACAAATTAGTATGAGATAGTTGGAAGTTGTTACACTACTAGAAAACTGGTGTAATAGCTACAGCACAATCCGTAGATATTCTGTAGCTATAAGCAGATAGCTACGGAATTGCTACGGAAAAATGTATGTAGGATAATAGCCCGTGGCTAAGTTATAGCTACGGAATTGCTACATAATAGCTACGGAATTTTCTGTAGCTACCATAGCTATGGAATAGTTACGGATTTAAATAGCTATGGATTTCCTACGGAATAGCTATAGAAATAAGTAGCTACGGAATAGCTACAGAAATAAGTAGCTACGGAATAGCTACAGATCCAAATAGCTACGGAATAGCTACAAAACTAAATAGCTACGAAAATTCGTAGCTATTCCGTAGCTAACTTTGTTTTATTTTAAAAAAAAGTTAAAATTTAAAAATTTCCAATTTTTTGTCAAATACTACATTCAATTCATATTTGTCCCAAATACCATATAAAATACACCAAAAAACGTCCCTAATACCAAGTTTGACACATTTCATTCCATTGTCCAAAATATCATACAAAAATAAGTACTAATTACAAAACAAACAATACCAAGTGTTTACAAATTCAATTGTTCCAAAATATTTATCAGTTGTCCTCAAGTGGATTATCGGGGGGGGGGGGGGGGGGGGGGGGGGGGGGGGCACGGGGGTTTGGGATTTCCAGGACATAATCATCATCCTCCTAACCATTTCCATTTGTTGTTGTTCCATGGTAGAAACTTGCACACGCAACCTATCAACCTATAAAATGGTAACACAATTTAATACTTAAACAATAATAGCAATGTACTTTCGTTTATTATACTAATGTATTTTAGTTTATAATTATAGCAATACACTTAACTTTAAATCCATAATTGCAATGTACTTTTATTCAATATCAATTTAATCTATAAAAACAACATACAACTTAACTTAAATCCATCATAACTTTAAAACCATTATAGCAAGGAGATTATGCTAACCTTACAACCTAGTGAACAAAATCGAAGTACATCCAATAAGCTTCTTCCACAAATTTCACATATGTGTGAAAACTGCTTTTCGTGATTTAGGTTGTGGCTGTAACTCTTGCACTGTTTATAACATATGTTTCAAAACAATTGATGTTCAACACTTGTTCGATCTCTTAAACCCTCAAAACAGCCGAGCCTAGTTCTATTGTACCAATTAATTGATTAGCCCTGCTCAAACATAATCACATTATCAAAATAAACCAAAACAAAAACCAAATATCAATAATCACATAATCAAGAAGCCAATAATCAAGAAGCAATAATCACATAAACCATTTTCCAACCAAGCCTCGTTATATTTTACATCCAATAATCAAGAAACAAATTACAAAAACCAAAAATCAATCATATGTTGAATTATATTATCAAATTGAACCCAAAATCAAAATAAACCTAAAATCAAAACAAAGCCTAAATCGAAATAAATCATAACCTAAAAGAAAAACCAAAGTGGAATTAAACCAAAAAAACTTACTTGAAACAGAGATGACGATGGCGATGGCAGGCAGATTTCGGCGACGGCAAGGAATAGACGATGACGGCAGCAGATAAAAGCGAGTGGGAGGTGCGAGCTAGGAGAAACGAAGAAGGCTCTGTTCCTGATTTGTACATCCATGGTGGAGCATATGGGGTCAATCTTCGGGACGGAGAAGGACAAAGTCAATTGTCCATTTTACTTCAACATTGGAGCTTGTAGGCATGGCGATCGATGTTCTAGGCTCCAAACATTTGGGAGGTGCGACTGAAATAGAAGAGGGAAAGAGAATGAAAAAAAGGAGCGGAATATTAAAACTTGTCATCGTTGGAGCCCGCTAAAATGGAGGCGGAGGCGGACAAAAAAAAGTGAAACCCTAAACTTGAAAAGGCCAAAAAAATGAAAAAATATTGGTAGCGGGAATCGAACTCGGGGCGACAGCAAATACAACCAACGAAACTACCATTTGGCTCGGAATGCCACATCCATACCACCTTTGTCTACAATTGCTTTTGACGACTTCAATATTCGTTGTTATTATTATTATTATTATTATTATTATTATTATTTGTTAAAAATAGGGGATGAACAGATTGCTTGGATTCTCTAAAAGTCGTGATTCACTATCAAATTGAAGTATTTCGATGGTACAGATCGAACACTCAATTGGATGAAATTCAGAGAACGAAATCTGAGAATGTATGTGAAAAATGTTCTTCAAAATGTACTAGAAAAATGACAAAAAACGACTATATCATTCCTGTCTGAAAACTGTCACTAGACAGTTACAAACTGTCATTAAAAAAAACTACCAAACCTGTCATTAAACGGATCTCAAGGAAAAAGGGTCAACTTTCTAAAATTGGATTTCTGATGCATTTTTTAATATAGCAGCTCGATCCCAGCCAGGGGCTCTGCCCCTTGGACCCCGCCAGGGGCGCTGCCCCCGGACCCCTGTTCGTTTAGGGGCTTCTCCCCTAAATAACAATGTACTTTGAATCTTGAAAAACTTGAACAAGTATGCACTTCTACACCATCCTAACTTGTTCAATATTCAACAAGATCACTTTTTGTCAACAAATTTAATCATATTACACTTCATCAATATTGATGATATAAAATCACCAACAAACCTCTCCCATTTAAGTGTAATCCTGATTAAACTTAAAACAAAACATAAACAACAACAACAAACTGATGCATAAATGAAATGTCGTGATGATTGAATTTCACATTAGTATATTACTCAATCCAAATATTCAAATATCAGGGTGTCACTAAGGATTGAACCCTTTCTATTCAAAGTATATACATGAAGATAATAAACACACCAGTTTACATTCTCATAATTTCTAACTTGACACTATATTTTACTAGCTTGTGTCCCATCCTTCAATAAGCATATCAAAGCCAAGTCCCAAATTCTTGAAGCAGCTAAACTTCATGCTTATATACGTAGTTCTTTTATTCTTGCACCTGCAAATGCAATTTTTCAAAGAACTATTAAGAAATAAATTTTCAAACTCCTTAACTTGCAGTACTGAACACATACCTTGGGATGATTATAAAAATGTGTTCCAATCTTCAAATATCAAGCTTTCCACATTGAATTCAACATCTAATATTGCATTAGATGGGAATTAGGTATCTCAATATAAAAGATTTTAAGTGGACTTTAAACCCATCCCTATAGCCACCTTGTGCACAAGATCTCTTGCTAACCCTTTGGTTAGATGATCGGCTAAATTCAACCGAGTTCTTACAAACTCCACAGATATCACACCAGTCATGATGAGCTCACGAATCATGCTATGTCTAACACCTAAATGTCTAGAAGGGCGACGACCGCATCCCTATCCAAAGAAGTCTCCACATCTTCTAGGGCTCTGAATACACATACAAGGAGCATGGCGACGACCGTTAGTAGGAGATGTGAGGCGGGACGCCTTGCAGGGAATTAAAACTTAGAAGAAATCGTGGTGATGGTGATGGTGATGCTGGTGATGGTGATGATGATGATGATGATGATGATAATGGTGATGGTGATGGTGATGGTGATGGTGATGATGATGGTGATGGTGATGATGATGGTGATGGTGATGGTGATGGTGATGGTGATGGTGATACTGATGGTGATGATGACGGTGATGATGACGGTGATGATGATGATGATGGTGATGATGATGATGACGATGATGATGATGACGGTGATGATGATGATGATGATGACGATGGTGGTGATGGTGATGGTGATGGTGATGGT